TAATGGCAAAGTTCTTGGTTCAGGCTTGCAGCAGCGATAGAATAAACTGCAGGTTCCTAGAGCAGATCTTTAGCCTTTAAAAGAGGGCTCCAAAAGGTTTAAAGAAACTTTGCTGATAAATTGCAGGACACATTAGGACTGGTCTACGCAGGGACATTTACCCACAGAACTGTACCAATACAGTATTACTGCTATAACCCTCCACCTGCACACACTTATTCTGGAATCACAGTGGCTTGGCCCAGGTTAGCCTATGATTCTTTCAAAGCACGACAGAGTCCAATTGTGGTTTTGTTCCTTCGAAAGAAGAGCCCACACCAACCACACGGCAAAAGGGACTGGATGTGCCATCCAACAGCCAGTACACCGAATTGAAGGTACAATGAACGTGTTTGTGGTCACATGGATAGAGCACTGGATTAGAAACCGGGGTTCTAATCCCAGCTCTGCCAATAACCTGCTGTGACCTTGGGCAAGTTACTTCCCCGCTCTGTGCCTCAGTTTCCCTGGTTGTCTTGTCTATTTTCATGGTAGGCTCTTGGGGGCAGGCACTGTCATTTACAGCACTCAGCACAAAGGGGCCCCGGTTGGGACGCCAACGGTTTCTCCTCCCCCCGCCCATTCTACTCAGAGGAAACACCCAGCCTTGTGCAAGATCCCCCTTCCCATGGGGTGCTGGTGTCTGAACGGTGGGGTGGCTACATTAACATCCTACATCCCCCTCCAAACAGATGTAGGTGAGGCTGATCCTAAAGCGCATGTTAGAAAGGAGGGAGGACGGCCCTGGGTGGAGGCAAATCCCCAAATCCAGATGACTAGATTAACTCCACTGGGCCCTCACAGCACAGAATAGGTGCCCCTAGGAGCACACACCAAAGCCAGATGGGCCTGATGCTCTGGGTGGAACGGAAGAATCTCCCGCTAGAAGCCCTTGGTCACCAGCAGGACTTGGCCTGCCCCACTGCGGGGAAGCTAGAGAGACTCGTCCCGCCTCACCTCCTGGACTAGCGGCTGCTGGAAGAGCGGGATGAGAGGGTTTGTCCTGGGAATGTCGATGTGGATCTGAAAAGGAGAGAGGCAGAGCGGGTTAGACTCGCTGACCTCGATGGTCAGGCCAGGGGAGGAGAGGGAGCTGCGATTCGCATGTATAAATCAGCTCAACTCTTCTGTTGAGGCGCTGATCGAGAGAAGAGGCCGAATCTCTCAGCCACCCCCAGGGACAGAGACCTTGCTGAGAGGCAGAGGGAAGTGTCTAAACTCCAGCCCCCACCGCTCAATTCTGGGGAAGGAGGGGGAGCAGCTAGAATGGCTGGCGCCTTAAAGCTAGCGATCGGGTGGCAAATCCAGCCAGTGAGAACCACTGACACATCTGATACAGCCAGTAACGAGGCAGGATGGGGGCACTACACCGTGCCCTCACTGGGGGAGATGGACTCCACCTCGTATGGCTTTCCCCAGCTTTAGCTGCTGTGATCCTATGCGGGCCAGAGAGCAGCGGCAAGCGCAAGAGGCAGAACGGGGAAGAAGGGAAGTGTCGTATGGGGGGAAGGGGACGGAGAGTGGGAGAGGAGGCCGGGTGGCAGGAGGGCCTTACCCTTGGGTGCAGGGACCAAAAGGAGGAGGAGCAAGGCCTGTACCTGCCGGTAGGTGTCCTGATGATGCTCTTCATTCCTGGAATCGTAATACTGCTCGATGAAGCCAAATTATTCCTCCCGCTTGCGCTGTAAGGTCAGCTTCCTCCGCTAATTGTTCGCAGGGAGATAGCCCTGCAGCAGAAGGCAGCCTGTCACAGTAGGTCCCCTTCCCCTCTCCCTCCTGCCCTAGCCACTGTCAGTTCCCTGCAATCCTGCCAAGCAGCAGTTTGTCCAGGAAGCGCTTCCAGCCTGCATGCAAAGGCTGGAGGAGGGGAGATCTCTAGGGCTTCAAAGCTCCCAGCACATGATGTCTGATACCCTTCCTGCCTGACCCCAGGGCAACCTGCCAACACCCAGCTGCATGAGATCTGATTGCTTGTTTCTACATGAATAGCTGAAGACAGCGCTGGGTCTGACTATTTGTCAACTGCTCTTTAAAGCTACAGGAAGATACCGACGAGTATGTGAAGCGGCAGGTAGGGCTCCACTCCAAGCAGGAGGCGAGACTACATTGAGATGGGCGTTCAGATCAGATCACGTGGTACATGAAGGCACTGGATAGCACCAGTGTGTCAGCTAGAGCCTGCGAGATCTTGTGAGAAAAGGGGCGGATGCGGAGAAAATGAACATGTAGCATACGCAAGATGAGAGCGCCGCTGAGGGAGAACTCGTTGGCTTTAACACAGAGGCCAAACAAGCAAAGGGGGTAGGAGTCTTCATTGTATTTTAACATGGCTTTTGCTAATGACTGCGCTGTTCCCCGCTGCCTGGGCGTGCCCATTTCAGGGTGTCCATCAGCAACCTCAGAAAGCGTGGGGTTTGAAGGTTAGGAGTATCAGGTCTCCCCAGGTTTGCTGCAGGACTCCTCAGTGGATTGGAGAACTGGCAGCATTGAGACATCCCACCCGACTCCGAAACCTGTGCGACTGCGGGGAGGGATTTTTAAGCATGACAGATGTTAGCCATGCTGCTTAAGGCACTGCTGGAAGGTGATCACGTACTGTGGTGCTGAGTGTGATAAACAACCATTCTGTGCTATAGAGTCATTAAAAAAGGGAAGAAGCCGAGCAGGGAGGCTCTCTCTGCTGGAAAAATTAGGCCATTTTAGATCACAAAGGAGCAGCGAATGAGACAGGCAAAAAAATAAAAATCTTTGCAGATTCCCCTTATGGGCTTGTCCCAAGGCCACTCGATGTGGTTGGTGGGGTCACCGCTCTGCGCACCGTCTGCATTCACATGCACCAGTGTACACCTCAATGGCATGCTAGTGACGCTCTCAGACCCTGCTGCTGGTTTCTGTGGCTGGAGCTAAGTACGACCACGTCACCTCGCTGAGGTCCCTGCCCTCCACCCATCTGGGAGTTCAGGCCCCTTGTCATCTGACCCTAGGCCCCTCGCTCCTTAGGTGCCTCTGTCTCCTCCTCACGTTCTTGTGCTTTCTCCTCCCAACAGTCAGAGCAGCCTCCAAGTGACCCCCTCTCTAAAGCCCATTTATTCCATTGAGTCTCCTGCACTGAGGAGCTCTGCACCTGGAATCCTATTTGCCCAGGCGAGACCGCAGGCTCCTCAGGGCAGGGCTCTCCATTCCATTCTGCCATGTGCCTTTAAGGTGTCCTGCAAAGAAGAGTTTGGATTCTTTCCTGTGCAGGCCACATTATAGGCTACCCAGCAAAGGGCAATTTATACATAAGGAACGGCTCCATACTCAAGGTCATGTCCCACCAGGGAACTGGGCAGTCCCGTGTCTAGATGGTCACACATGGATCTGCCCCTGGGGCCAGGCACTGAGAACCGATCGGACCTAGTTCAATGCACACAGGAGCATTCACGTTTAGCAAGCCCGAGGCACGTTCATTTTCACGTCCCCGCGTGGACCTCTGGGCTGCGCTCACCCTCGGGCTCCCGCCGATTGCGGCGCCGGGGCGGATTTGACCGCGTCGTGCCGGGTGTTGCTGCACCTAGCTCCGCGCGAGGCTGCTCAGCCTTTCCCCAGGAACCCCGGGCCGCAGCGGTCGGCACTCACCGACAGGAGTCGACACGTCACGGGCCGGACCTCTCTGGGCACGCCAGGCCAGCTGCATTTCCTCAGCTCATCTGCAAACGGACAGTGGTGTCAATGGATTAGATCCTAGGCGCGTCCCGAGTGAGGTGCCCGGCTAGGTAGAACTGGCAGGTCAGATCGGCAGTGACCATGGGGGGGTGGGGGGGGGAAGGTTCACCTTCTTCTGTGGCATGTGATCGACCCTTTCCTCTCACTCCCAATGTTCGTCCTTGCCTTCCTTCCTCCCTTTCGCATTCAGCATGCCTGCTCGCTGCTCGACCCGCACTCCACCACACCTCAGAGAGTGAGGGTGCTTGGGAGTCCCAGGGAAGCTGACCTTGAAGGTTACCCCACCTTGCCTCCTTTAGCCTACTTCAGTCAGAGCTGGAACAGAAATGGAGACATTACGTGGCCTCTGATGCCACCTGGTGGCTGGACTCATCTGCCGGCTCCTTTTCACATGGTGAGTATTTAGTCGGGTGTTTCTAGGTCCACTGGCAGCATGGAAGGACACATTTACATGACCTCATAGACTTTAAGGCCAGAAGGGACCATCATGATCATCTAGTCTGACCTCCCGCAAATCACAGGCCACAGCCACTCCTGGAATAGACCCCTAACCTGTGGCTGAGTTACAGAAGTCCTTAAATCATGGTTTAAAGACTTCAAGTTACAGAGAATCCATCATTTACACTAGTTTAAACCTGCAAGAGACCCATGCCCCACATTGCAGAGGAAGGCAAAACCCCCACAAGGTTTCTGCCAATCTGACCTGGGGGGAAATTCCTTCCTGACCCCAAATCTGGCGATCAGATAGACCCTGAGCATGTGGGCAAGACCCACCAGGCAGACACCTGGGAAAGAATTCTCTGTAATAACTCAGAGCCCTCCCCATCTAGTGTCCCATCACCCTGCTGCCTCTGATGATAAAGCAATCACATGCCTGGGATCAGACCAGGATGCAGCACTGACCTGGCAAGACACCTAAGCCAGAGGAGTTAGAGCGCTCTGGCTGGGCACTCAGGCCAGGATCAAGGCAAAGCGTCCCATCAGACTCAAAGGATCACATTCCGACCTGTTCCAAGTGGGCGCAGCTCCACCAGAGCTCTATTCGCTTAGGAAAGGTCTGAATTTGGCCCAGAGAGTCCAACAGCAGCACGTGGGGTCCCGAAGAGCCATAGGCAGAGCATCTCGGACACAGCTGAATTCAGATGGCCTGGATTTGAGGCACTGGAAGAGAATGGAGGATCACCTGGGCAAACCAAGGCTTTGAAATTAGTAGCCGGGGGCTGAATTCCACAGTCAACCAATACAGCACGTGGGTACTAGCTTCAAAGCCAGACAGCTAGGATAGCATATGAGCAACAGATTGGTCACTGCCTCTCTTACCAGGTGATCTGGACAGCTGGGCCTCGCTGCTGGACTTGATGACCTTGCAGTTGGTTGGCATCTCGCTGAGAGCAGACTGGGCCCGCTCAGGTTTCACGCGCAGCTTGCTGTGGTTCTCCAGCACCTGGGCTGCTGTGGCCTTGGCCACTTTAGAGTTCAGGGTTTGGAAAGAGGAGGAGAAGTCTTCGTCTTCATCATCGCCGATGTCCCAGGCGTCACTGGTGTTGCGTGCAAACTCGTGAAAGCTAGAGGCCTTCTTATTCTTCAGGGGCAGCGTATTGCCCTTGGAACGTTCCTTAATGAAGCTGGGAGCCAGGGAAAGAGGGTAAGTGCCACAGAAAGAGCCAACCCCAAGCTCCTTACTCCTCACACAAGACCATTCCATGTACCCTCTTCTCTTCCTCCCGTGGTACAATCCCTTCCCCTTCCAAATACTTCCTTCCCTTTGCCCTCTGGTCTACCCCCCCAATGCCTCTTCATCCCATGGTACAATCTCCTTCCTAGGCATGAGCTAAGGAACGCAAGAAATCCCTCCACGCAACCCCCACGGCAAGTAAAATGCCGGAAGGCAGAACACAGCTGGTACAGTCTCAACACAGGGAAGGCCAATGCTCCAGCTAACCGTTCCTATCAGGAAGGTGCTCAAGTCTATCTACTCTGCCCAGCAGGGCAAAGGAGAGGAACTGATTCAGCTCCAGGCTGCATGAGACCGCTCCTAGGTTTGCAACTGCCCCAGCCGCATACAAAGAACAGGAAAAATAATGGATACTTTCAACCCAGGGAGAGGTACAGGAGCAGCTCTGTGCTCACATGCTGGCCAGACTGGCCTGATGATGATTTCAGACACAGGGAGAGCGCTCCCAGTACCTTCAAGCTCCAAGAGTCAAAGTCCACCGTGATAAGGAGCCAAAGCCAGGAGATAAAGTCTCCCTTTCAGTGCTGGGGAAATGTGCTGACTCGACAGTCCCAGGGGCTGAAGTGCTGCCCATTCACAGGGCAGAGACTGCAGGGGAAGCAGCAGAGATGTGGTTCCCACACACAAGCTGCCAGGTCCTCCCCACTGCCCGGGAGGGATCCCCTCTAAGAGCAAAGGGAGAGGTCAGTCACCATCGCCCAAGAAATCCTTGGTCTTTCTGCTAGGCGGTGGCTACGACAGTAGTTCTATGATGCGGACTCCTTGCTACTAAGGCGAGGCCATGGGCTCGTTTCACACAAGCCATCAACTGGGAACGTGGGCCAGAGTCAAACAGATGCCCTACAGGTGCAAGGCTTCAAGGGAGTACGGGAAGTCTGGAGAGCCCCTGCCCAAGAAGGGACAGAGAACATCCCAGCAAAGCAAGCCCTCCAATGGAAACAGAGCCAGAGGGGGGGGCGGGGAGATGCGGCACTTACTTTTTGGTGAGCCGGGGATCCAGAGGAGGATGCTGGGCTCCGTAGACAGGTTGAATACTGCCGGGGAAACAAAAGCCACAGAAGATTTGCGAATAATTGCCTCAGCCTCGGACAGGGTCACATTCCTCAGCTGTTCTTGGGAGCCGCAAGCAACTTCAATAGGGTTCAGAGTTCAAAGCCTTTGATCAAAGAGCCACAGTCAGCTGAAGGTTTATTCTTTCTGAGAGCAGAAAAGACACTGTAAACGATCAGCCGCACTCTGGCTCAGCTGGGCAGGAGGGAGCGGGGTACTGGGCGTCTGGGGTCTATGCCCGGCCGTGACACTGATTCATTGCGTGAGTATGAGCCTCAGTTTCCCTCACCTGTAAATTCAGGCCAACAGTCACCTACATCAATGGGGCATCAGAGGCATAGTTCGTTATGCCTTGAAATCCTTGGATGAAAGTGCGTAGCAAAGGGCAAAGTGTTACTGCCAGTAGCATGCTCGTGTCTTGGAGAGAAAGATGTGGGTTTGAGCTCCCCATCAGGTGCTGGGCTCACAGTCACTGCTGAGCAGTGCAGAAAGTTACAAGGAAAACACTGCACCGAGAGGCGTGATTGGAGCTCAAATCCCAGCTTGGTGAAGGACGCTTGGGCAAGTAACTTTACCATCGTGCCTTGGGCTCTCTACCTGTGGATCAGACTAACACTCCCCTCATTCAAAGGCAGCAAGGATGCTATGAAGCTCTGAACCGCTAGGCAATGAGGCCTAGCCTTCACAGATGTTAAAATGAGGATAGCGCTAGTTTCACAGGCAATTTGAAGATCCCCAAGGCAATTTACACAGAGCAGTAGGGGATTCAGTCCAAGATTCAGGCTAGTTATACATGCCCCCAAGCCCACTCTCCTGCCAACATCCAGGCCTATTGCTCTGTCTGCCTCCACACCGATGCTCTGAGAAGCACAAGCGTTCCTGGAGGATGGTTCTCTAGATAACCAAACCCCATCCCTCTGCACATGTGTCACGTACCTTATTTAACAGCAGGGCCCATTCTCAGCTGGTGTAAGCAGACCGAGCTCCACCTGAGTCAATGGAATTGCAATCGCTTTCACCAGCTCCGGATGGAGCCAATGACTCCAGGTAGAGCCAGTGGCACAGAGAGCTGGGCCCTGCGGTACAGGAGGAAGAATGCAGTCTGGCTGCAGCTGGAGAACGCGCTGAGTGCTGGGAACTATCTGGCTAAGGGGAGGGGGAAGACGGCAGCACAGGTACAACGTGGCAGGAGGGAGAAACAGAAGAGTGAACAGAAGAGCTGCAGTACAGGCACAGGGCGACAATGGGCCCTAAACCCAGGAAAAGCAATGGGTGACCAAACCTAGCATGGGCTTTCCTTGCTGCATCAGCAACTTCCGTCTTTCAGCCTGACGCTCGAAAAAGACTAGCTGTATTTCCCCAATAGTGATTAGGCTGGGAAGGAGTTTGCTGGCTAATTAAGATCTAGCTGTCAGGACAGCCATTAAACAGAGGTGGCTGTGTTGGTGGGCATAACGAGCAGATTAACCAGGGCAAAATGAGATCAATGTTGCTGGCAAATGACTCATGTCAGCTTCTTTCAGAGGCCAGGAGAAGCCAAATCAGTTGTTTTAAAGCTTAACGCGAGTTTTACAAAGCTCACCAAGCCGCCCCTCTGTACACTGATCAGTGTCATGTGTGACATCAAGAATCCACATGTTCCTTCTGGGAGAGGGTCCTCATTTACACACAGGAAGGGCACTGGGAAAAGACTGACACAGGAATATTGGAGTCCCCTTTGGGAACACACCACTGGTCCCTCAAATCTAGAATCCCGCCTCAGGCTGGCTGTGGTTGCAAGCAGCTAATGCTCAGAAGTACAGACCTAAACTTTTGAGTGCACGCACCCAATGGGAGATATCTTAAGGGGGCAGGGGTGTCTGATTTTCTAAGCAGGTCCCTTTAAACTGTCTCAAGGCAGACACCCAAAACCAGAGATAACCCAGATCACTAGTCACTTCTGAAAACGTAGCCCACAAGCCTGGGTTATTTTCATATGAACAGCTAAAAATGTCATTGGTCAAGTATTTCCAAGCCCCCTTTGGGACGCTAGCTGCAGTATCGGACGTTGGTTTCCTGCAGCAGCGAGTTCCACAGGATGACACAAAAGCAGCATTTCCTTTGGTTTGTTCTGCTGTTCGTTTCACTGGCTGAACCTTTTGTCCCTGTAGTATAGGATGATGTAAACAGCAGAGTGAGGAAGAAACACAAACACTCTCAAAGAGAAAGCTACAATGGGATTGATTTCTAGGGTATGTTGGCAATTTCATGAGCTTCCACTTTAAGAAAAAAAAAAAAAAAAAAAAAAACCTTGTTTCCTTAGATGGCCATCCCCAGCCAGTAAACCAGGCCATAACATCGATAAGGACCAGCTGAGGACACTGCGGACTTCCCCTAACTGGGCTACTTATAGAACTGCTGAAAATGACTACAGTTAGCTCTAACTTTATAGTGGTTGGAGTTTTTGTAGAGGTGCATAGGGAAAAAAATCTATGTAAAAATCAGCTTCAAGAACCATTCACATCAATAATCTGCCTGAGCCAGAGATATAAAAATATCCAGAACAAGACTGGGAACAGCCTAGCAACCAACATGGGACTACTGAAAAGTAATAATACGCAGTCCTTAGTGTCTGATCCTGTTCCCATTGGCTTCAAAAGGGAGGAGGATTTGGCCATTATGAAGTCCCCTTCATTGGAGGATCTCAAATGTTTTCATGGAATGTTCAGATTTAATTTCCTTTTGATGCCATTTACTTTTTCAATGCAACAGTTTAGCTAGTGAAACTAGTGTAATCAATTCCACTTTTTGTATCTAGTTAGTTCCACTTGCTTGTTCTCTGCTCCACTAGTGAAAGGCTCTGAGTCAACAGAGAGGTGCAGTGAATAGGGCACTGGGTCAGGAGACCTATGCTTTGTTCCCATCTCTGCCACCATCCAAGGTCACAAAGCAGCTCAGGTCACTTCATCTCTCTGTGCCTCTCTTCCCTCTCCCACCTTTGTCTATTTAAGTTGGAAGCTACTTGGGGTGGAGCCTCTCTCACCACATTCATGTACAGTGCCTAACACAATGGGGACTTGACCTCATTAGGTCTCCAGGGTCTACTGTCTATAAATAGAGAATAAGGTTGCTTGGGTTGCCACTGCCACAGCAGAAAGTAAAAACCAAGAAGCCTGTCAGTGACACTCAAAATATTTAACATTTTTATTCTCATTAGGCTTCACAACACGCTTTATTATTAAAACCCTACGCACAGGGCCCAAACTTCCCAGGGCCCTAGAGAACCTCTCTCTGTAGCACAGGAAACCTGAACACCAAGCCTTGTGCAGCAGAACAAGTGAAACTGACCAATCTTGTTTCACTGAACAAAATCCAAGAAATCAACTATGTTCATTATTCCCATTGTAATCATTTATGGTTATTAGCAAGGAAAAAAACCCCGTACATTTTCTTCACATCTGTTTTTGATTTTTAGTTATCTTGACAGCTGTGACCTTTTAATACTGATGTGCCGTTGAACCAGCCTGTCTAATCTGAGAGGCCATGTGGCTTGGTAGACTCGGTCTGGGATGTTGCCAGCTGGATGACGATGGGCAAGTCACTCATCTTTCTTATGCCTCAACACCCCCCCCCTCCCCCAACACCCCAATTTCTAAAATGGGAATGATACAACTCACAAAGCGCTTTAAGATCTACAGATGAAAAGCACATTTGACAGATTTGATGGATGAAGAAAGCACGAGTGCTTATCCCAACCATCTCCAGTCCCTTCCAGGGTGATCAGCATAAAGGGAAGAAGCCAGCAAACACACAGGAAAAGACCACAGAAGGTTTGGTTAAGCAACTCTTAAATAAGCTTAATCTCCTGAGGCCTTAAGCCTAGCATCTCCTGCTTCCCTCCTCTACTATCCACTGACCTACCAAGAGTGACAGCGTCAAAATGGGGGTGATTCAGAGCAAGGATTTAAGAACAGAGACATTCCCACGTTACACTGATGGATTTGACAGAATATTAGCATGCTGGCCTGTTGGGAGAGAGGAATAGTTTATCCAATGCCCTATGAAGTTTGAGTTTCTTGTCTGGGCTGGTTGGCTCGTAGTTCTTTCCCCAAACCGGTTTGCCTGGTTAAGCTCTCAAAAGTTGAGCTCAAAGCAGTTAGAGATGGAAGAGACTTGTTATCTTAGAGACCACCCCTCTACACAGGCAGGATGTGGACTCCTGATAAAGAATGTACCAGATAGTAAGATTACACTTAAAGACACGTGCTTACACATTGTGGAATTTATTTTCCAGAAGAAAAGGAAGAGTTGTGGGTTATGTCTGCAGCTTCACCCCCCCCTCCCCGCCCTGCCCCGCCCCGATTTGAATTGTCCCAACAACCTGAGTTTGAGCAGGGACAGCGAGTGAAAGTGAGAACGCATTAGAAAGAAAGAGAATTAACTGGCCAAGCAGGATTTAAAGCCAGCTAAGCATTTCAAAGGCTGTGCATTTGCACACCAGGAGGGGATTGCAGGGTCAAGATGAGATTAATGGGGGTGTGGAAACCGTGAAGCCCATATGAACTGCTCAGACTTTAACCTAACCTTGTAATACTCCTCACAGGGAGGTGGGTGAAACTCCCCAGCCTTTTCCCTTTCTCTTGGGGATTTGCTTTGTTTTTCTATGGGAACCTTCCTCTCGAAACCACATGGGAGGAGCCACTCTCCAGGGCAGGTTTCCTGCCCCCAGCTCTCATAAATCTATTTTAATGCAGTGGTTTGTGCATTTCTCCCTCCAAGTAAGCATCCCTTGCTCTAAAGGAAGCAGCACCTTACTGCTCCCCAGCCAGAGGAAATGAGGTGGGGAAAGTGCCCCCCACAGATTGTTATTGACACTTCCTGAGGACGAACCCTCAATGGAAGCAGAGTTTAAGGGGAGTGCAGTGATACAGTCTCATGGGGTATGCAAGGACACCCATTCTGCTGTTTGCTTGGGGGCGAGGGGAGATCTTGCTGTTCAAGGAGAAGCCTCCAGGGCAGTGTATGACCTTGGGGGGATGAAGGGCTTCTGCTTCAACATTTGCAGGGGGGGGCACCGTATGTCCCCCAGCTCTGAAGTTGCCCTTTAGATGCCCAGCAAGCCCCTCTCCACTTTGCCTCCTACCTGTCCCACTCCCGGATGCGGCGTGAAGGAGAAAGGACTCGCTGATTCCTCACCCCGCAATATCCAGCCCAAATTGTTCCTCCTCATGCTTGGCTTCCCCCACTGAATGGAGACTTGGTGTGGGGGGGGGGGGGGGGGGGCATGGGGACAAGAGTTTAGTTAACCGGCTCCTACATGCTCCCTTCTGTCACTGGCTCCCATTCCCTTGCAGGAGTTGCATGGGGGCAGAGATACAGATTACAGGTACCCACAAATCGATGTGGGAAGTGAATCCCATTCCCAGGCAGATCCCCTCCTCTTAGGCCCAGGCTGGAGATGAACATCAGTTAATCGATTAGTCAGGATCAAGCAGGAGAAATATAAGAGGGGTCGTCTTCCTTCTCCCTCCCTGGAAAAACTGCCCAACTCCACACATGTATGAGCTGGGGGAGGGAGGAGTTGGCACCCACAAAGCACTAATAACCGGCCTGCCCCCCCTCTCCCAAGGAATGGATGGAAAAGGGGGGTGCCCCCTGCCCGGGCTGGGAGGTCACCACTTAGTCGGTATCAATAATCAATGAAAGGGCAGGGGGAAGGAATGTGTGTAGCTCACTCCTCTGGTGCTGGGACCGAGCCTGGGGGGTGTCACCGAGCCCGGGGGTGTCACCGATTAGCCGGGACCAAGCCCGGGGGGGTGTCACCGATTAGCCGGGACCGAGCCTGGGGGGCGTCACCGAGCCCGGGAGGTGTCACCGATTAGCTGGGACCGAGCCCGGGGTCCAGGTGCCCCCAGCCGCACTCACCTCCCCGGCAGCTTAGCGCTCCGCTTCCAGAACTGCTTGCTGCTCTCAGCGGCCATGGCTGAGGCTGGGGCCGGGCCCCGGCCGGCTCCGGGGGGGACGAGCAGGGGCGGCAGGTCCCGGAGCCGCGGGCCGAGGCCGCTTCACCTCCTTCCTCCGGAGGCCCCGCTGCCAGGCTCCGGCGCCGCCATTTTGGATCCGGGAGGGCAAAGCCCGGCCATTGGCTTCCTGGCTCCACGGCCTCCGGCTCGGCCAATCCTGAGCCGGGATCCTACCGCGTCGTGAAGCGAGGGAGTCCGGGGCCTGGCAGAGGGGCGGGGCCACGAGAGGCGGGAGAGACCATCTGCGTGCAGGGAGGAATAAACCATTTCCACTGGCGGGATGGAGTGGAGTGAACCATCTCCACTGAGGAGGAGGGAGGGCTAGGTTAAATCATCTCCACTGGTTGGGAAAGGGAGAAACCACTCTGCTTGGGAGAGGAGTGGGAGAATAGGGTAAATCTTCTGTCTTGGGCAGGAGGGGTAGAGTGGGTTAAACTATTTGCGCTTGGAGGGAGTTACACCATCTGCACTGGGGAGGAGAAGGTTAAACCATGGTCACCAGGGAGGCGGTGTGAAGTAGGATTAAACTAAGGAGTGGGTTAAACCATCTTCACTGGGGGAGAACAGATGGAGAGGGTTAAGCCATCTGCACTGGGAAGGAGGGGGTGATGTAGGATTAAAGTATTTGCACTGGGAGGGAGTGGGTGACAAAGCTGGGGGGCACCTGCTGGGCCCCTTATAATTCAAGTCCAACCAGTGTTTCCATATCACTTTTCAGTTGCTTGTAACTTTGCATTGGGGAGCCCTGAAACTTCCCACCTCTGGCCTCAGCCCAATGACAGAGTTTGTTTTTATTTATTTTAAGTTAAATTGGACAGGAAACATTTCTGACACTTTCAGCTAAAGGGGGGGGGGAAGCACTTTCTCTATTAGCATAAAAAAGTCTTAGATTTTTCAAACAGTTCTAGGACCTGAGTGGTTTGGGGCCAAATCCTGGATTGCATCAAAAACACAACTCCCAGGTTGAACATGTGCCTCTTGGAATCATGGTGGAAATCCACCTTGATTTGCCCAACCTTAAAAAAAAAAATCTTATTTTGCTCCTGCAAATGGGATTACACAAGGAAAATGGTAATACACATTTTAAAACTTGTAAGGCACTCAGTTATCCCAGTGATGAGCACAGTACATACAGATAGGCAAATCGAAAAATAGGTCCGATAGATGGGTATGCATGGTAATTAGATAAAAGACATTTCTCTCTCCTTGTGAAAATGTTATAGAATTTAATAGAAATTGGTAACTTTTCCATCGTGTTTTTGAACCATCCTATCAAATACAATAAATAATTATAACCCTGCTATAGAATTCCATAGGATGGTAAAAAAGCAACTCACAGAAAGCAGCGGTGCCCTTTCAGATTGCAATGGGGAGGGGCAGGAGTCCAGCAGGACTTTCAGCAGGAGTCCAGAGGCTGTTTAGGTCCCTGGAAGCTCTTGGATTATTTGAAGAATAAAAGTGTAAAAATGAGTCTATTTCAAGAGCATTTGTTGTGATTATTTCCTATACATTTAATAATTCATAAAGGTTTACTACAACAAAATGACCAACACAGGACAAACAGGAAACTAAACAAGCTAAGCCATCTGCACCTGTGGCACGTAGATCCAGCATCAAATAAAACCTAATTTCAATTTTAGAAAACAACAAGGGTCCGAGCACACAGAATTTCTTCCATAGGAATGACACTCAAAGCAGACATCCCAAACCAGTAACTAACAAACAAAGTCAACTCATAAAATCTAAAAGAAAACCCTCCAAAAACAACCACTCCCCCCCAAGCAGAGTTTTGACGCTGAAAAGGGTGAAGTGCCAGATTGTCCATATAATTCACTAGGGACTGCGCTAATGCTCTTAATTTTATGTGGAAGGCGCTCAGATATTACGGTGAAGGGCGGCAGTATAAAACCGATACGTAGGAACACAGAGAGGTGTTACCAGTAGTCATACTGAACAGAAAACTGTGTTTAGTCCAAAATGCTTTTGTGCATAATGAGCAGAGAATTCTGAATCATTGCTTGTTTGGGAAGTCCCTAACGTTCATTCGTGGGCTGGCCCTTGTCAAACATATTCAGCTTTCACCCCATCTTTTTCACTTGTAGTACAGCAATTGCTCACCATGACACCACTTTGGGAATCCCCCCAGTTTACCTAATGCCATCCATTGTCACTTGTGCTATTTTAGGGGGGAAAGTTCCACAGATTCTCTTTAAGTAGAAACCTGCTCCAGGCAGCATATTTATTCCCAACTCAATTGCATGTTCCTTCTCTTATACTGGTTTCAAATCAATGCAATTGCTTTGCCGTCAATGAAATTGCATCCTGATTTATACAGGAGCACGTGAGAAGAGAACCAGTGCAAAGAAGCCTCTTTTCCTTCAGGCTGGTGTTCACTAGAAAATAAAAATGTGCTGGAACATGTTAACTAAAATGATCTTAAATGCAACTTTGCAGGCAGTCAGATGGGCCTGAGCTTAAACCCCAGATCTGAAGACACCCTCCATACTCCTAACATACCTAAAGCGACCATGAGCATGTCTACACTGCAATGTCAACCCAGGTTTTGAACTCAGGCTCAAGCCTAACCCCCCTTTCATCTACACAGAAATCGCACTGACCCAGGGCTCAAACCCAGGGTCCCAGGGCCCTCCAGATGTGCAGGGTCTGAGCCTGCAACAAGTCAGAACACAGGGGTTCAAGCCCTATTGCTTTTCAGTGTGGATGCAGTCCCACTGGACTGGGAGTCCACCAAAAGTATCCCACAATCCCAGGGGATTACTTTCTGTGTCCTCTGAACAGTCAAGTTTGGTGAACAGTCAAATTTTCCCACAATGCATCATAAACAAAGGGCTAGAGTGGCCCAGCGCCGTATTATTGCCTAGGGCGGCAAATTTGCAGGGGCGGAAGCTCCCTTCTGTGCCCCGCCCCCCTGCTCCAGCCCACCTCCGCCTCCTCTGCAAGCGTGCCGCTGCGTCCTGTTTCTCTCCCCTCCCAGCTCTTGCACTGCGAAACAGCTGTTTCGCGGGGCAGGGAGAGAGGAGGGGGAACGCCGCGTGCTGGGGGAAGAGGCGGGGCTGGGGGCGGGGATTTGGGGAAGGGATCCAATAGGGGAAGGGAGGGGGCGGAGTTGGGGCGGGGACTTTGGGGAGGGGGTTGGAATGGGGGCAGGAAAGGAGCGGAGTCGGGGCGGGGCCAGGGCGGCAATTATTTCCCGGCCTAGGGGCAGCAAAATTATTAATCCACCACTGGAGTAGCCACATTTTGGGATGGCGCTAGGAAGTCTGGGATATGGGTGGTTGGAGTCAGGCCTGCATAATGCAGTGTAGATGCTGGAGCCCCAGGTTGGGACCTAGAGTTCAGCACTTCCTAAACTGGGGTTAGCAATGAATGTAGATGCTCCAGCCCTAGGTTAACAAACCCAGCGTCTGCTAACTCAAGTTCTACTTACCCTGGGTTTATGTTACAGTGTAGACATACATTATATGTCCTGGTTTTTCATCTGAGTCCCTGGAACACCTGGGATGGATGTGTCTGTGTCTCAGTGAAGGTTTTCCCCCTACTTGTTTTTGTTTTACATTAGACATTCAGGGTTTTTTTAAACCCAGAAACTCTCTTGGAGATTGGAAGGCTGTTGGCCTTGTAGAATCTATGGAACTCAAATGTGGGAGAAACACTTGGGACATCTTTGTTAAAGATCCCACACCTTTCCATTGAGGAGTGGGGAAGGAAGAGACACTTCACACTACACAGTTGAGATCTCCAAAGAGTTATCCACCAAAAGCAGGAAGGAACTTTCCATTGCTGCTATTGCCAAGGTTAAAAAACAAGCAGAGCCATACCTCCCCCAACACCCCATGCTCCATGCACTCCCCTTTTTTTTCTAAAGGGGGAAACATTTTCTGAATGTGAATGTGTGATATAAGTGACATGTTGATCTCCCTTCCCCTGTCCTGCGGAGCAGGGGTGCGAGTACCGACTATAGAGCTGCTGGGGTTTAGTTTTTAGGTGGGTGTGGGCTTTATGGCTGCTTCTCCGAGGAGCGGATCAGCCAGGGGGTTTACTCGACTTGTGCTGAAACTGCTGTTGAGGGAAGGGAAGAAGGCTTTCTGCTCTACGGGAGGGGTGAAGTTAGAGGCTGTGCATGGGACCCTGCAGCAAAAGCTTGCCAGCCCCAGGGAACTTGCTGGGGTGCTGACTTTACCCTGGCAGTTCCTACGTGGCTCTGGCTGCCTCCAGCGGGGATGCAACAATTGCCAGCCATGCCAGCTAACAGGTACTTGAGCAGAGAGGCCAGTTCCTAGACTGGACCATCTTTCTTCGCTGATGACTTTGGATCAGGACCTTTGTCCAGGACACTACACTTTACCATTGTCCAGCAAGTAGTTCCACATTATGGAATTTCTCTTCTGTATCAATTTTCTTTTCCTCTCTCTCTCTCAGAACAACAACAACAAAACCCAACACCATAAACATTGCATTACAATCTCTGTGTTCATGAAGAGAACACAAATGCTGCAAAGCCAGGCACCCAACGCCGGGGCATGCCAAAGTGAACGTTTCCTAGGCACCCTTAACACTGTCCCTGGCCTGGCTGCATTATTTGCCAGCTTTTCAAGCCCCCAGCACTCACAATTGGTGCCAAAGTTTCCTGAGAGCTCAGCTCCCGTGTAGACATCTAAGGAGGGGGCCAGGTTTGCAGACGTGCTCAGTGCCTGGCAGCTCCCATTGAGAACCATGGCCTCTGCTTTTGGGTGTCTAAATGCAAGCTGAGCTCCTTTGAAAATGGACCCTGTCATACAATGTTTAATGACATGATCCCCTTGTGGGAGCTCAGAGCCGCTGAAAATCAGGTCCTAAGTCTCCCAAGGTGGCCACTTTTGAAAATTTAGACCCAGGTTTATTTCTCCTACCTCGTTTTGTAAGTAAATGAGAAGGGGTGGTTTGGCTGCTAAAGCAAAGAGCTGGCCACTGGGCCTCCTGGGCTCTCTGTCATAACCTTCATCTGTGCGCTGGCCTCGACTTTGTTCCTTTGAGTCAATCAAGGCAGCTAAGACCTTTGTGAAGGCCAGTCTGGACCCTCCCTAAACCAGTGAGACTCAGACTGAGGCTTGCAAGCCGCAGGTGATTCTTTAATGGGTCTCCCGCGGCTCTTTGCAGCACATGA